ACGGTGTATATTCACAGGGTCTGGAAAGTTTAGATAGGACCAGGAACCTCCTGGAAAGTCATGGTGCTTTCAGCGATGCACATTCTCAAACCCTACGCCCACCTCAGTGACCTGTCACCTTTACTCTTTGTGTTCCCCTCACTTGAAGACCCTGACAATGCACTGCATCCCAACAGTACTTACTTTGGGCAGCATGCTGTAGAAATGCTGAAACAGCACTTGGTATGACTTCCCACTCATTGCAAAATGGTACCCTTTCCCACCAGGTGCAGAACTGTTTCCGATATCGATGTAGGTTTCCTAAAATCAAAAGGCATTTTTTTCTGTGTGGGATCGTAAGTGGTGCCCGCTTACCTGTGAGCACGGAAGAAAGCAAATTTGTGGTGCACAAAGAAATGAGCCTCAGCAAGTGTGGGAGGGGTCATTTGCCTATGGAACCTCACCTGCAGGGAGAAGACAAGCAAAATGCCCCCTAGAATTATATGAATACATGATGCTCTAGCTGCTCTCATCGTTTCCGTGATTGTGTCTTCATAGCAAGGTGCCAAGAATGTCTCTCTGCTTCCTCCTCATGTACCCTGTGTTTCCTAAGATCTTGTACCATTCATTTACTCCATTCCTTCATTGCAAGAAGGCATACTTGGGTTCTCTGTACCTAGCTCTTTCTTGTATCTGACTTCTGACTTTTGTTCCACCCTACTGAAACAGGGGACCCCTTCCCTCATGGTACTCAGAGCCTCTTCCACACTGGGACTTCCATGCACAGTTAGCACATGTTCCCAGACCTTCCCTCCTTGCCACTTATAGGTATCCCCCCTCGGCTGTGTGCTACTCCGTCCTGACTAACAGCACAAGGGGTCACGTCTGATGATGCCCATTGGCTCCCCCTGTCAGTCACTGACAATGGCTACTCTCAAGATTTACCAGCAGGCTTTGCCTTTCTATAGGGCTTGGATTCAAAAGGTACAGAGAGTGAGAATATTTTATTCATTAGAGAAATACATATCATAGAAAACATCGTGTTTACAAGGGGGAGGGGGAAACCTTGTAAACACAGGAGAAACTGAAGTGACAGGAGGAGAAACCCATCTTCCTCTTCCACTGACAACTGCTAACCACTAAAAGAAGACAGGAACCCTTTTCTTATAGGAAGATAGGGAAAGAGCCAGAGGGGAGGAGAAAGGCTGAGGCTGTGATGTGACTGAGGCTGGACCTCGGATGAGGTATTAACTGCATGAATGTGAGCACGGACAGCCTGTTAGCTGCATTAGTGAGGACAAAGTGTTCTGTAACACAGTGTGATGCAGACACTGTAAGAAGCAAACAGGTTCACAATGAAATGAGCACTAGAAAGCCATAGAAGGTACAGGGAGAACCGTCATCTTTCATAGCACTCGTAAGTGAAGGTTATGCCAAATTAACCCATCTCAGTGACCCAGGCCACTCTGTATATTTGTGAGTCTGTGTGCTGCACCAAAGTCTCTCTTCCAGGAATCAATGTCAGAAGCTGCTCATCCTGGAACCAAGACACAGTTCTGTAATTCCTTGCTCGAAGGACCATGCTTCGAAGCCACACAAAAGTGGAGTATTGGACCATGGCCATTCTTACATGGGTGAGATTTTCTCAGACAAGTGAACAGGAAGTTTGCTTTCTGGAAAACACTGCCTCTGTCAGCTTCCCAGTGAGGTGCTGTGCAACGCAGATGCATAAGGATTTGTGTGGCATCAGAGACCCTGGTGTCGGCTGAGGGGCTCACCGATGTGCCTTGGCAAGCTGACTTCCTGCAGTAGGAAGTTTGTAAACTCCCCAGCTGATGATAATGTATGGCTGGGGTTGCAAAATGCCACTGGAAACACTGCACAGTGTCACACTCGAGACACACCACACCTGAGGGATTGTTACTGTGACAACTTCCAGGACTCAGATGGTTGCACCATGCCAGGGCTGTGTTCCACAAACGCAGGCCCAGCCAGGGGTCTTTGAACATCTGCTCACCTTCTTCCCAGGACTGGGCTCTTGGGTCCCCACCAGCTGCCAGGTCACAGAGGCAGGAAGAAGGTCTCCTGGCTCATTAGCCTCAACAATGATGACTTGGCTGCCCACAGGAATCATTTCAGAATTCTTAGCAACAGTGATGGCAGTTTGAAGATTGTCACCTAGATAACAGAGGGACTTTAAGGACAAACCCACAGCCATCAGGATAAAGATGTCTCTTCTCCTGTTTGTTGCTGTCCACATATTTAGTGTATTCAGTGCTGTTTTATAGCTATCTTTCCTTCTACCCAAGTGTACCGAGCAAACACCAAGTTCAACATCCCTGTCACTGTGTGTTTGCAAACCATGAATAAACGAATGAAGACATGTGTGAGCTCTTTATGACTGATATCAAGATGACAGATAGCTCCCAGTAGTGGACATATGACTCCAGGCTGAAATCAAAGTACAGGCTTGGGATGCGGACTAATCACAAGAGGAAACACTGAGGACCAAGCCACACTGGGGTTTGCTTACCATGCGCTATGCCTGGCCATCTCTCTCTCTCTCTCTCTCTCTCTCTCTCTCTCTCTCTCTCTCTCTCTCTCTCTCTCTCTCTATCTGTGTGGTGTGCATGTTCATATATGCCATCAGACATCAGAGGTGTCTTCCTTGATCACACTCCACTTTTTTTTCTTTTTTAACAGAGTCTCTCACTGAACCCAGAGCTCCTTGAGCTGCCCAGACTACTGGCTAGCAAACCCCCAGCATCCTCCTGCCTCTACCTCCCAGTACAGAGATCACAGGCATGAGCCACCTCATTCTGTTTTTAACAAGGGAGCTGACTCTTGCTAACAAGCCCTGTACTGACTCTGTCACATCCCCTGCCTGTGTACAAATATTTCTCCTCGTAGAACCCTGGGTAGCAAAAGTGGTACTGGGCAGAGAACAGGATCCAGTCACTGCCTCAAACAACGCTGCTGCTGCTGCTGCAAGGGTGCTGCAAGGGTGTCAGGGCCATGCAACACACATCTCGTCTACGTCAGCCACGTGGACGTTCTCAGATCATACTTCTTTTCATTTTGCTACTTGCCAGGCTCTGGATTGCCACATACCTGTGATCATCACAGTCCTGATGTGGGCCTCACTCAGCTCCTTCAACACTGGTTTTGTTTCTTTCTTCAAGCGATTCTCCATTATGAGAAGTCCCAGGAATGCCAACTCCGACTCCACTTTCTCCCTTAGGGTTCAGGAGAAAAGGAACATTTTGAGGTGCACGGTGGTGCTCATGGATGATTTATTTCTTTTCTTTAGAACCTCCATCTGTGTTTTACTAATGAAATAGTGCACACATTGAAAAAGAAAGTAACTAGGAGCTTATAATGAAAGCCAGTGGTCTTATCTCCATAGCATCCTTTGTCTCAACCCCCCCCAAAGCAATCAACTACATCTCAAAAATGGTGTTCTTACCTTGCCACTCTTGTTTTTAAATTCTTAATTATGTAAACTTTTTAATCTCCAAAATCTTTCAATATTTTTCCCTGGACCTTATATTTAAAAAAAAAAATATCTGTTTAACAGTCACCAGTGACTCGGAGCATTCTGCATGAATGCTGTCATTACCACAATGTCTTATGCTCAGACTGTACCTATTAAGTACTAAACTGTATTTAATTTGTGCATAACAATAAATTAACATTTTCCTGCTAACTAGAGCTGAAAACTCAGCAGTTAATTCTGCTTATTGTGTATGTGTGTGAGTGTACATGTGTTCACTTGTGTGTGAATGTATGTGTGTGCAAATGTGTAGATGGCTCACTGGAAAATGGGGGCTTGCCTGAAGCCTGGGCCTAAGCTGGAGCTGTGGTCTCAGTCTTGGTTTGAGTCTTGGGCTTTAGTTGACAGAGCCTGTGACACTTGGCCACTTCCCAAGCTTGGGGTAAGTGATGAAATCAAGACAGCTCAGTTTATGGCTGGGTCTTTGGCGTCTTGGCCTTAGCCACCTTAAGCTTCACAAAATCCTTGAAGTCCTCTGCACATACACTTACTGCCTTCATATTCTGCAGGCCTTTCACCTTGTGCTTCTTGGCAAAGCACATGTTACTCAGGAACTTGGGGTCAACCCCCTTAACAAATGTATCACTTTGTGACTGGGATCTCTTAATACCATTTCTGTCATTTTCAGGATTAGTTGTGTGTGGAATGGCTCTAGGACTTGGCCATGTCTGCACAGTAACTCATAGCTCCCTGAATTTCCTTCTTTTGAAACGCTTATGATATCCCATTGCTTGTGTAGACTACATTTTCTTTATTAATTCATTGATGGATCATTAGGTTTCTTCCATGTTGTGGCTATCATAAACAATACCGCAAAAAATGTGGGATATCGGGTGTCTCCCAGAGATATGGGCTTCAATTCTTTTTTGTCCAGACATAGAATTAGGGGGGTTCTGGATCATAAGAAACTCATTTCAAAACCTGGCTCTATTTTCCATAGCAGTTACATAATTTCTCACTCCCATTAGTAGTAGAAGATGTTCCAACATTACCACACCCTCACAACACTTCAACCAGCCATCTTTTTAAAAGATTCACTTACTCATATTTTATGTGTGGGAGTTTTTGCCCACATGTATGTGTGCCCACAACATGTGTGCCTGATGCCAGTGAAGCCAGAAGATGGTGTCAGATCTCCTGGAACTGGAGTTATGGGTGGCTGTGAGCCGCCATGTAGTGCTAGGAGCTGACCTCACAAGAAAGCACGATCGCTTAACCTTTGAGCCATCTCCTCAGTCCCCAACCAGCCATCTTATTAGGCATGTGATGATCTCCTTGTGGTTTGGATTTTCATTTCCCCGACTGAATTTCAGAGCCTTTTTATGCATTTTATACCCATGTGTAACACATGTCTTATGTCCTGGGTTCCTTTATAAAAACCATACTGTTTTTTTATGAAATTATACTCCTGATAAACTTTAAATAGTGATTTCTTATTAAAATGGTTGCTGGGGACAGGCCTGGTTCAGCCCTGTGCTCTTTGCTTCCTGATTGGCTGCCGGATGAACCTGTCTCAGTCCCACTCCAGCAGAGCAGATAGAGGTACTCTCCTCTGCTTTCCCTGCAATGACCGTCTAGAATCCCTCTGAAATAGAGTACCAGAATAAGCGCTTCTTCCCTGCATTGTGTCTGTCTTGTATTGGGTCCTGGCAATGCAAAGGTGATCAATTCAGCCTGCAAAGATCAACTGGAAATGGACTGAAGACATCAGCAGAAGACTGAGAACTGAAACTCCCAGATGAAATCACAAGGGTGCGTTTTCTTTAAATAAGGACATGACACCAAGAGATGGGCACAATGGCAAAAGTAAAAGTGCTTTTGTTTCTATCACAGTTCATCACCTCAATCAGTTCTCTGGGCATGTGGGCCTCTTGCTGTTGTATCACATCATCAGCAATTGCAGCCACTGCCCTGTTCTTCGACACCCAGCCTCTGGCGAAGGATTGCCTGCACTTATTTGACTCACATATTTGTTTAAATACCTTCCTTGGAAGACATCTTTGACCTCTTTAGGTGAAACAGTATTGTATATTTTTAAAGTTTCTTTCCACCTAATTCATTCCTCCCTTCTTGAGATATTTAAGAATCACCAATAAGACAATGTATTATAGATGTATTTTTATTATCTATTTCCCCAATTAAGATAGGAAATCCTTGTGGTCCAGGAGTTAATTTTATTAATTTCTGTAGTTCCTGAGCATCTAACACAGATGTCAAGTTAATAGACATTTACTAAACCAGGAAAAGGTTAGGTCTTAAGGAAGCATTTCTTCCACCATTCAGTGTTGGGTGATTTCTAAGTTATCTAAAAAACAAAACAAAACAAAAAAACAACAACAAAAAAACCTCTTAATTTCCTTTGGTGATGCCAGTATTCAAGAACTTTTATTTTCCTCACTGGAAAAATTTTGTTAATTATTATTTTATCCTAATAAAAATCAAAACAATGTTATTTTACCATGTTCAAGAAAAACAACAACATTTGGACTCCTGATATCTCTTGGGAAAACTTGTAATGGGTAAAAGGATAGCATGGCTTACTGTTTTGTTTGTGTTTTTTTGTATTTCTAATAGTATGTATTTCCCTACTGGCTCTTAAATGGGAATACAGCTGTGCTTGTGTGTCACAGCTGGGCTGTCTACATTCTATTGCCAGTATGTAAATCTCTGGTTCACTCAGGACCTAAACAATGTTATTCAAATTTGCGTATGAAAAATTATAGCATCCCATATGTTATGGATCTTTATGCTTGCTCAAGGTTAGTCAACATCTGGAATGTTAGAGCTGAGGATGTCACCCATGTATCTGAATGAGCTCCATGATTCTATTTCAAAGACAAAAATATCTTATCTGAAAAGCTCCTTGGAGATAACCCTGTCCTATGTTATATAAATTCGGGCACAGCTACTATGTAAGGCTCCAGTTATCTTGGATAGCCATAGGTTGTACATAATAACATTGAACCAAATACACTGGTACCCTATACAATAGAGCCAATTATATAGGAATGAGAATCTCTGAATTAGAAATATAATGTAATATATCAAATATAAGTACTATATAGGCTATCACCTATTTAGTTTTCCTGTTCTTTTAATGTAGATAACTTGAAATGAACCTCTAACACCTAGAAGAAAGCAGTATATAGATTATCCTCTAAGGAGGGCAATTCATGCCTTTAACGTAATTAGAAATATTGAGTTTCATTTTCTATACAGAATTCAATTTGCACTCACTACATCCCTCCCAGATTTGAGGGCATTACAAAGCCCAGACCTGAGAAATTCCAGAAAAAAAAAGGAGGATCTGGAAACCTTCCAAATTTTCACCTGTGTTCTCTAAAGAGACACCTATGCACATGTGAGACCTCCAAAGGTGTTCAGAGGTGGGATGGGAATTTGTTGTTGTAAGGGGAGACGAAGCCAGAGATTAAGACGAATACTATATAGGGCAGGATAGAGGTCAGATGTGGGGTCCGTGAAATCACAGCTGCCATATGCCATGTGATCTAAACAAGTCCTGGATGAGAATAGGTCTCCATCCAAGAACTTTCCAATGATTGGAGCAGTTGTCAGTCTATCTCCAGGGCTGCTACCATGAGTGCAAAGACCCTCCCCTGGTCTTGGTTTCCAATTCCTTACCTCGCCAAACGTTCCAGGTCTGAAAGCTTCTCCATCTTCAGAGTTTTATGGGCAAGGGCGATGACACGGAAGCCTTGCACTGTGTAACTCTTCAGCTCCTGTGGGAAATTCTTGGGCACTGTGAGGAGAGAGGGGAGAGGGGAGTGTCACATCACAGTGGAGATGACGTAGCATGTGAGTAACTGCAGGATGCATTCCTGCACTTCAACTTTCACTTCATAAAAATGCTTTACTAGAAAACATAGAGCTTCAGACATGGGTCGCCGACAGCTTCACGTTCCTCAGGTGAGGAAAAACAATGGTAAAACTGTGCCGTTCATCAGCTGTGCTAAGCCCTGACTCTGTGTCCTAAACTATGGTAAAACCTAATCCCTAACATGGCCGTATGTGGAAACAAACCTCTGGAAAATAATTAAGTCATAAAGGTGAAATTCTCATGAGTGGGATTGAAGCACAGGACGATATAAGAGATGTTCTTTCCAGGATACAGCAGCAAAGCAGGCATCCACAAGCCAGGAGGCTCGTTCCCACCAGAGCCAAATTCTCCAGCCCTTAACCTTGAACAGCCTGGTTTCCAATAGTATGAGAGATAAGACTTCTATCATTTAAGCCACCCAGCGTGAGGTACACTGTTGTAGCAGCTCCCTTAAGATGGCCAAGATGAATCTCACCAGTGTTCAATACACTGATTGGGTTCACCAAGGACAGACTTCATGACCATGTGTTCTTGAATGAAATCAGAGTAATTGAAATGGGCAACCTTCCAGAGCAGGGTTGATAATGTTCAGGCTACATTTGATGCACTTTTTGCTCTTGTCAATAAAGTTTTAAGCTATATCCACTCCCCTGTTTATTATCCATGATTGCTTTGTGGTCACAGTGGCAGAGTTGGTTAGCTGATGCAGATCCTGTATGGCCAGAAAGGTCTGAAATATGCTGTGAGTGACTCTTTACCGAAGTATTTTCCCACACACACACACACACACACACACACACATATATATATGTGTGTGTGTGTGTGTGTGTATGCAAGCTCATGCAGGTATGTGTGTGCCACTGTGCGTGGCTGTCAGAGGACAACTTTGAGTCTACACTCTCCTCATTAGTTTGAGATAGCATCTCTTTTTGTTTACTGCTGCATAGACCAGGCTAACCATTCTGCAAGTTGCTGAAGATTCACCCATCTCTGGCTCCCATCTCCTGGTAGGTGCTCACTGAGGTTACAGATGCTTACATTACACACCTGGCTTTTAAAAGTCAGTTCTAGGGATCCAAAGTCAGCATGCCAGGCTTGTAGAGCCAATGCTTTACCCCCTGAGCCATGTCTCACCCACATTCCTGCTGTACAAGGTTGCTGACACAATGCAGCACTTACATGATTTGGCGTAACTATGTTTTTTTTTGTATCTATATATTCTCTGTGGCTTCCAATGTGCCTACATGAGAGTGTCAGACAAGAGCTGAAGTACTGCACAATAGTGGCTGTGGTGGCTTAGATAGTGAAGTGACAAAATTTTATCCTCCGTTCTACTCGAAAGTCACTTTCTGACATCAAGCTATTAAGCTTCTCTTCCGAACCTTGGTATCCATCCACAATATGAGTGATGGCTGGACCTTACATTCCCATTTATCTCAGACTTAGTGTATTTCTAAAGTGTTCCCAGAGGCATGCATCTAATCTCAAGGAAGCTTCTAACCTTCCATGTCTTTATTTAGAGGGAGGTGAAAGATCAAAGATCAAGACAAAACAAAGAATTGCACGGGCTGTTGTGAACGGCAGATTGGAAGCTGGACTCTTCCTGACACAGCAGGGGCAACACAGAGATTCTCACTGAAGTCTACATGGCTGAAAGCAAAACAGAATAAAGCCAAATATACTCTATACCTTGTTCGAGACATAGTTAATGGGGTTTATGAGGGAGATCAGAATCTGGAAAGGAAGGCTTTTTTTTTTTTTTCATTCTGGGAATCAGACACACATCCTGTGCATGCTAGGCAAGTCCTTCATTCTTGACCTAGAAAAGGAGACTTCTGCCAAGTGGTGGTGGTGCACACCTTTAATCCCAGCACTCGAGAGGCAGAGGCAGAGGCAGGAGGATCTTTGTGAGTTCAAGGCCAGCCTGGTCTACAGAGCAAGTTCCAGAACAGTCAAAGTTACACAGAAAAACCCTGTCTCAAAAAACAAAATTAAAAAAGGGAGACTCCTAAGATTAAACAGACTCCAAATGTAGAAAGTTAGAATAAACATTCATGAAATCTAGAATTCTGGACACAGTTGGTGGCTAATCATAACAAGTAGATGAAAACTAGGAGAGAAATGCCAGTTTCATCCAAGTGATTTATTTGAATGCACAAATTTTCTGTAAATTTGGCCACCACTTAGAATGTGCATATGTTTAGGAGAATATTAGTAACACAGCTCATCTCAGAGTCTGGACCAGAAAGATAAAAATTGCTGGGAAAGCCATCTAATATCATCTAATTTAGTCTAATCATTTTCCTCCTAAAATATTTCTCTTTTAAAATATTTCCAACCAAGATATAATTCGATTTAAAGCTCACTTCATGAGATGGAACCCATTCCCAACACTGCCTGGGTGCCCAAGAACCTGTGACTAGACAGGCACGGACCTAGGGGAAACCTAAAACTATTGTTCTACTAAGGGAATATAGAATTAAATTCCTCCAAAACATTCTGTTATACTCGTAGATCAGTGCCTTGCTCATCCATCATCAGAGAAGCTTCCTCTTGCAGCAGATGGGAACAAAGACAGAAACCCACAGCTAGACACTGTGCAAAATGAGAGACCTTGGAACACTCAGCCCTAAATGGGATGTCTCCATTCAAATCCTCCCCCAGGATTCAGAAAGCTGTGTGGAAAAGGAGGCATAAAGAATGTAAGAGCCGGAGGGAGGTAAAGAGTGTAAGACCAAGGAAACAGGTCTTCTGAATATACAGAAACTAATATACATATGAACTCACAGAGACTGAGGCAGCATACACAGGGCTTGCACAGGTCTGAACCAGATGGGGCCGTAGACCTGAGAGGAGAAATGGACACATTCCCCCATCCCTAAAGAAGCGAGGTCCAATTGATAACCACTAGCAAATGAAAAACTGGTTCTCTCCAAACTAGTTTCACTAGGGAAAGAGACCACTCTCAAGGGTAGGTCCCATGCCCAGCAGTAGATGGCCAACCAAAATGAACTCAGTGGCATCTTTGGAGACTCCTTGTCTAATAATGTTGTGTCAGGGCTTTTTGCTTCTTGTAATTTTAAAAAATACCTTACAGGTCCTTTGCAAATATTATGGCTTCCAGTTTTGTGTTTTTATGAGATACCTGTGTATGTGAACATGTGGTGTCTCTGCATTTGTATGTGTTTCTCATGCTTTTTCTGTTTGCTTTATCATACTGTATTTTTTGTTTCATTCCTTAGGTGCACATTCATTTTTAACAAAGACATAAAGGGTGTGGATCTGGATGGGAGGGGAGGCAGGGAGGAACTGGGGGTAGTCAGGGGAGGGGAAACCATAATCAGAACATATTGCAAGAAAAAATTTATTTTCAATAAAAAAACATAATTTAAAATATTTCACAGGATGGGGAGATAGCTCAACATATAGAAAATTCTAAGCTTGATGACCTGAGTGAAAGTTCTGGGACCTACATCGCACATGGTAGGAGAGAAATGACTCCCACAAGTTTTCCTATGACCTGCACACACACACACACACACACACACACACACACA